TTCAAAGTTTCGAATTATGTTATTATTAGAGAATAAAATACAAATTCAAAATTAGTTTTTAACGGATGAATTGTTTAGAAATAAAATTATTTTTAATCTTTTTATATTTTATTTTTTTCCTTCCTCACCCCTCCCCTAACCCGTCCCGCGCCCCGTGACGGGATGCCCCACCATTCCCCACCCTGCCAACCCGTTCGAGGCGGGTTTTATTGCCCCATTCGGGGCGGGGCCCCGTCGGCTCGGGATGGGACGGGTTTTATTGCCCTCCCTACAAAGGATGCTAAACTAGAGAAAATATCAAAAGTTTGCATTGGAACTAATATCCTATAAATACTTTTTATGCAACGAGCTTTGGAGATCGGTTCAAAATGTAGGTTTTGACTATCTTTGTCCAAATGGTTAAGCGAGACCCATTAGATGATTACAGAAATTCGAAGGCAAAAATTATTCTACTTTGCGAGTAGATCATTGTAATTTTTAGAACCAATTTTTGGTGAATGAGAAATTAAAGTCATAATTGAAACGCTTTACATGCGAAAATTACTGAAAATATAATAGCATGATCAAATATTCTATTAATCAGGGTGTAATATGTGACATAATATTCTAAAATATTTTTTATTGAAAGAAGTGTCCTTTTAAATGAAAAATCATGACTTTTGAAATTGTTACTCTCAAATAGATGTATCTTTTGAAATTGTTTACTTTCGAATAGATGTATCTGTTTAGGTGAAAGATCATGATTTTAAAAATCTTTATTTTTTAATAAGTGTGTTTCTTCATATAGAGACAAATTTCAATAGTTATATCTTTTTCAAGGGTTGTCTGTTGAGATACAACTTTCCACCAATAACATATAGATGATAATATTTGATATTTCCATTCACTCAATTAATATCTCGATATCAAGGCATTTTCACTTCAAAATTATTTTTGCATTTATTTTGAATTAAGTTTCATATAAAGGAAGTTCAAAATATCAATATGTTTGTTGGTCTATGTAATATTGAGTGCTCTTATTATATATGAGACATAGCCATCGTGCCTTGCAAGATGAATGTTGAAAATGTGAAAAAATAATTAATTGCAGTAAATTGTAAAACTGTAAAATGCTGAAAGTAGAATTTATCGATTAATCGAGTCTCGTGATAGCACAATGTCTTATAGTGAAATTACCCGTAGTTAATTACTGCGACCTCTATAGATAACACTTCCAGGATACAACGATCAACCAAATCACTTAAGAAACAATTACGAATAGTTTCAGAACTCTCAAGTGTACTTCAAAAAATAGATATATACATAAAACTCGAGTATGAAAAATTACATAATATGAAAATGATAATTTCATATTATTGATTTAATTTTTTCAAAACTAGATGTGTGTTTATATTGATAGATATATGAACCATGATCCAGAAAATAGTGAAAATTACACCCACCCCTAGTTTTTAGGAAAATTCTACTTGTACATAATTATTGCACATAATGGTGTCCATAATGTAATGTGGCAATCATCCGATTATTTATATGCAAATGTGAAATTTGAATTGAAGGTTGAATTCAGTGCCACGTGTAATTATGGACACCATTATATAAACAATTATGTACATGTAGTACTTCCCTAGTTTTTAAACTATCCAATTCAAAATTAAGATTTAAGGGTTCTCCTTTCGAAAATCAGATATAAATCAAAATTTAAATATTAATAATAATACTTAAGAATTAAATTATTCTACACATTCATCCCACCTTTATCTATCCTATCTAAATCCTAATTATTTTCCTCCCTCTTTTTTTCTTTATCTATATCTATCTATTCTCTCCCCAAGCTTCTCTCTATGATCCTATCAGAGCCGGATATGCGTGAAGAGATCTCTTTCTCCCTTAACCTCTTTTCCACCCTTGTGTGAAGAGGCGTGCTGTTGCAGTGGAGGTAGCACTGCTAACAGAGGCACCACTCTGGGCTATTTGCAGCGCCACATGAAGTGTTGTATCTGCAATTTACAAGTGTTGCAATGGCGCAGAGATTACAATGTTGCCTTCATGAAGGAGAGTAAGGGAATGATAGATTAAAATATAGGTGCTTTTTGGCGGTATATAACACTGGAAGAATCGATGTGGAGATTACTGTGCTGTGGATTTGTTGAGATCATGGTGGCGACAGGGACGGCTTGGGGATTTTTGGTAGTGGTGCTGTAATATAGATGGAGATAGAGGAGGTGAAAGTTGTGATTTTTTGTGGGCCATGATGGTGAGATGGTGGCGGTGATGGCTATGGTAATGGATCTGCTGCGACGATGGTAGCAATGTTTGTGGTGGTGATTGTAATAATTTTGAATATGAATTTTTAATGGTATTTGGACGGTGGTGCGGCTGTTGTAGGTGGGTGGATGGTGGTGGTTGCATGTTTGAGATGATGTTTTTGTTGTCGAGATGTTGCGTAGTTTCGATGACGATGCAGTTGGTAGCAGTGGTGAGGTGTTGATCACAATTGATTTGGTTGATTGTGACCAATAAATTGTTAATGTGTAACAAATAAACAATATGTAATCAATGAAATATATAAAAAGTGAACTAAAATTTGTTAATTTGTGACTAATAATTTGATAATTTGTAACATAAACATAATTTGTTTCCAATTAATTTGATATTTTGTGATCAAGAAATAAGTTGTGACTTACAAAATTTATAATCTGTGACCAAGGAATAACATATGACATATTAGTTTGATAAATTTGTGATTGCAAAATAAATTGTGATTGAGAAATTATTTATAACCAATTAATTCGACAAATTGTGATCAAATTGTATAAAATTGTGACCTTATTTTACTTTATAAAATATATTTTTAATTAATTATTTCAAAAATAAAATTTAATAAATATATGATTTTTGAAGTTTTAAACCTTTTATCATAGTTTTGAAATAAGTTATAGTTAAACTCTTATACATGAATCCTCCCCTCGGAAAATATTTCCAAATTTTAATAACTTGTGGATAATAGATTGTTGGTAATGAGTTGCTAAAAAACAGTCATATTATACTAGCTAGTTTAACCCATTAAATAATTAAAATAAATAAAAATATTATTTTAATCAAGCTTGCCCGAGGCCCAATCAAAAACTTTTTAATTATGGCGAGGGATGTGAACCAAACCCCCAACAAATTTCACACTTTTCACAAATTAGGCACTTGCTCTAACTTAGTTACTTCTTTCACATAATTTATTTATTGTATAAATATATTAGGGCATTATTGTTTTAAGAAGAAAGAGCCACTTTTTTGCCTAATCAAATTCAATTTATGCATTTTTCGCTTCCATTTTAACATATTTGATTTTAATAAGTTGAAAATGTGTCAAATTTTATGCAAATAAAATGTTACTTATCAAAATAATTATTTGCAATCGGTAACAACATTAAGATGGGCTAGTAGGACAGATTCGCAAGCCACATCCTCAGGAAATCATTTAGTTAAATCATATGTAAGTTACAATTCAAGATTACCTTTATTTCTATTCCCTCTAATTTTAGGGCAACAACAACTCAATTCTAGTAAAATCAAAGGGTAAAATATGGATATAAAGGGATTCCCAATTTGGGCTATTCTATGTAATTTATTTTTAAATCAAGTATAATTTGATGATAATTTGCATAATATCACAAGTATGCATGCAGATTTTCATTCAAAAACAATTATGCAAAAGGGACTTTACTCAACTATATAAGTTAAAGAAACATATCATCATTAGGAAGTGGTCCATGCGATAAAAAAGGCATAAATAAATCGAAATCACGCATCAATAATCAACTTTTGATTAGAGCTTGTAGAGATAATATACCACGATAGGGATCGTGGTTGCACCTTTTATTCACTGATGCAACTCCGATCATGTAAGTGGCGGTGGTGTGATGATGTACAGAAGATGGTGGTGATGGAGTTAGTGAATATTTTGGTGTGCGTGGGTGTGGGGCCGATAAAATAAAT